GCCTGCCAAAGAACCTCCAGAAAATTTGAGCCCCTATTTTGGTCCAGTTTATTGTAGTACCAATCAAATGGTAGAGTCTATAGACAGAAAACATATTTTGTTAAAATAATGGTTTGCAGCAAATTACTTAGCTAGAAATTCATATTTTTCTTTTGCCTATGCAGTAACACAGAAAGAGTACCTTTTAGAGTCAGCAGCAAACCTGGAATAAGCAAATATTTCACGTAGTAGAAGATAACTGTTGTGCTAATCAGAGGTAGAGAGAGAGAAAGCTATCATTCATAATATCTAGGTTATGATGAATACATTTTAAAATACTTAACTACTTTTGAAGAGATGCTTGTACCACAATGCATGCTTAGAAAGAAGTGAACAAAGGCACTCTTGCATTTATTTGGCCATTAGTAACAATTTTCAGAGATAATTTTGTTTCAATATGTTGTGTGCTTCCCCTTTTGAAACCCACTGTATCATCTTATTTACCATTACCAACTGTTTAATTTTACCTCTGCTAAGCTCTCACACTGTTTTTGTCAAGGAAATGATTGTGCTGTCACAAATGCAAGATTATGATATCACTTTTTGACTTAAAAAATAAAAGCAATCTTTAAAGGCAACCAGCTCCTCACCAGAAATCAGTAACCAAAAGAAGTCTATGAAAGGTTAAGGGTATCTATCTATCTGTCTACAAAGAACGAAAACCACCCAATATATGTGACAGATGGGGAGCAAAGCTATGGAGTTACCATTATCCTACTGCTTTAGTACATGGCACATACAGTATCTTCTCTTTCAAAATAATGCTTTAAAAACATGAAATATCAGTAGTAGGTATCTATGGACTCAACCCCGCAGGCTCTTGTGCATAGTTCCATCAACTTCCCATGGATTTATGTGGCACTATGCACAGGAATAAGCATGTGCTCAGAAGTGTTTGCAGGATGCAGCCCATAGTTATCTAAAATTAAAATCGTATATTTCAATATGCAAATATTTTAGAGAAGATACTGTTTGTGTTGTGTTAAGATTTCTAGTCTTAAATATGTACTAAAAAAAATAGCAGTGATGGGAATTCAATAGCTGTGCTCCACATCTGTCTACCAAATCATGGAAATCACTTCAGTAACATACCATATGACAGAGGAAAACTGAAAAGAGCAAATATGCACCGAAGCCTGCAGGTGTGAGAATAATGCGTCTAGCTCCATCTGTCATTATGTGTTATGTGTTCGGGGGGGAAAGGGTGGGGATTTTTCATAATACAGCTACATATGTACATGGATATATGATATTTAAAACAAAACAGATTTTGCCATAGCATAAAACATTGAAGCCATAGCTTCAGCATATTTTAGTTCTCAAGCAAACAGTCCAAAATCAGTAACAAATAATTTAGAAGAAAACACCATCTCATTTTTACTGTGTCTGGTTTTTCCCGCAGTACTGTTGCTTTGAAATGTAAACTATTCAAAGCAAATTCTCTGTGAATTCATAGAATCATAGAATATCAGAGTTGGAAGGGACCTCAAGAGGTCATCTAGTCCAACCCCTGCCCAAAGCAGGACTAATCCCCAATTAAATCATCCCAGCCAGGGCTTTGTCAAGCCTGACCTTAAAAACTTCTAAGGAAGGAGATTCTACCACCTCCCTAGGTAACGCATTCCAGTGTTTCACCACCCTCCTAGTGAAAAAGTTTTTCCTAATATCCAACCTAAATCTCCCCCACTGCAACTTGAGACCATTACACCTTGTCCTGTCATCTGCTATCACTGAGAATAGTCTAGATCCATCCTCTTTGGAACCACCTCTCAGGTAGTTGAAAGCAGCTATCAAATCCCCCCTCATTCTTCTCTTCTGCAGACTAAACAATCCCAGTTCCCTCAGCCTCTCCTCATAACTCATGTGTTCCAGACCCCTAATCATTTTTGTTGCCCTTCGCTGGACTCTCTCCAATTTTTCCACATCCTTCTTGTAGTGTGGGGCCCAAAACTGGACACAGTACTCCAGATGAGGCCTCACCAATGTCGAATAGAGGGGAACAATCACGTCCCTCGATCTGCTGGCTATGCCCCTACTTATACACCCCAAAATGCCATTGGCCTTCTTGGCAACAAGGGCACACTGTCGACTCATATCCAGCTTCTCGTCCACTGTCACCCCTAGGTCCTTCTCTGCAGAACTGCTGCCTAGCCATTCGGTCCCTAGTCTGTAGCGGTGCATTGGATTCTTCCGTCCTAAGTGCAGGACTCTGCACTTGTCCTTGTTGAACCTCATCAGATTTCTTTTGACCCAATCCTCCAATTTGTCTAGGTCCCTCTGTATCCTATCCCTACCTGCCACCGTATCTACCACTCCTCCTAGTTTAGTATCATCCGCAAATTTGCTGAGAGTGCAATCCACACCATCCTCCAGATCATTTATGAAGATATTGAAGAAAACCAGCCCCAGGACTGACCCTTGGGGCACTCCACTTGATACCGGCTGCCATCTAGACATGAAGCCATTGATCACTACCCGTTGAGCCCGACAATCTAGCCAACTTTCTACCCACCTTATAGTGCATTCATGCAGCCCATACTTTTTTAACTTGCTGACAAGAATACTGTGGGAGACCGTGTCAAAAGCTTTGCTAAAGTCAAGAAACAATACATCCACTGCTTTCCCTTCATCCACAGCACCAGTAATCTCATCATAGAAGGCGATTAGATTAGTCAGGCATGACCTTCCCTTAGTGAATCCATGCTGACTGTTCCTGATCACTTTCCTCTCGTGTAAGTGCTTCAGGATTGATTCCTTGAGGACCTGCTCCATGATTTTTCCGGGGACTGAGGTGAGGCTGACTGGCCTGTAGTTCCCAGGATCCTCCTTATTCCCTTTTTTAAAGATGGGCACTACATTAGCCTTTTTCCAGTCGTCCGGGACTTCCCCCGATTGCCATGAGTTTTCAAAGATAATGGCCAATGGCTCTGCAATCACAGCCGCCAACTCCTTTAGCACTCTCGGATGCAACGAATCCGGCCCCATGGACTTGTGTACATAAATAGTCCCTAACCACTTCTAAATAGCTTTTCTAAATAGTCCCTAACCACTTCTTTCTCCACAGAGGGCTGGCCACCTACTCCCCATCTTGTGTTGCCCAGCACAGCAGTCTGGGAGCTGACCTTGTTCGTGAAGACAGAGGCAAAAAAAGCATTCTTGTCATAGTTTCTTTCTGAGTTCATTTCTTGTACATTTCCTGTGCTTTATTGAAAGATTTAGGGTAAACTGGAATAGGCAGTAAATCAGTTTAATAGGCAAGTATTAATACATCACAAAGTGTGCACTTACCATGTATTTTAGGTATAAACTTGCCAAGAGTTAATTTAGTCTGGAAGTGGGAAGAAGATTTCTAACTGTTAAGCGAGGTTCTGGAACAGCTGACCAATAGGAATAGTGGGGTCCTACATTTCAATGGTTTTATTATTCTATTAATGGGATTATATGCCTTCAAGAGCAGGGGAATGGACTCGATGACTCAGGAGATCCCTCCCTGTCATTTGTTCTTTTGATCTTATGGATTGGCCAGCAGGACACCTCAGGAGACACTGGACCAAAAACTGGGTTTGTCCACCTGAGAAATGAGGGCATTTAGCACAAAGAATGAATAAATAATTAAGGGCTGGATCCAATGCCCACTGAAGTTAGTGGAAAGACCTCCATTGACTTTAATAGTCATTGGATTAAATGCACTTCTAGAACTTTGTTTTTAGCCAGTATGTGATGTTTTTGGTTCCATTTCAGTAACAATTCACTAATGAATCATAACTACTAATAAATTATACTGAACCTTCAGCAGCCAGTGACATTGGTCCTTGCCTGATGCATTTTTTAAACAAATTTTGCTCTCATTATTTAAAAAATATTCAGGTCAGAATTTTAAAATTCTAAATGTTAGAATATTTGTGCTTCCTGTACTCGCCGTTGACACCTACCAAGTATTTTTCTGTACTGTATATATTATATTAGGGACCTTTCATATTCTGACACACATTGAAGCTAAATTCAGCAGCAAGGCCTCTTGATTTCTGAGACTTTGTGACAAACAGAAATTCCTCAGATATGAAATGTGTGCAGAAGAAAATGCTTATTCAATTAAGCATAAAAATGAGTAACACTGGGTAGTGATACGTTTCATTCAATAAAAACCACCGTTTGTGTGGGGTGTTAAGGTTCTGTCGTTGTGGGAGTTACCAGCTGGGAAGTTGGGACTTCAGTCACAGCAGATAGATCAGAAGTTTAAAGTTAGTGTTGGGGGTTAGGATGATCTTTTGTGACTACTCTGGCTCCACCTCTTTTCCTTCATGCTCTACCATTGCTGGCAAAGGCTTTCACAACTCCCTTGTGGCAGAGTGCAGGAATGATGTTATGGGCAGTGTTCTGCTTGCTCTTCAGGAGTCCAGGCACCATGCTGATCAGTAAATTTTATCTGTTTTGTCTGTCTTACATTACCAAGCAGAGCAGGGGAAAAGATTTTTGTGAGTTCCGTATCTGGGCCAAATTCCTAGGAATTTCTGTATCCATGTAAATTGTGAAAGGCAAAAAAGCCCTCTTCTGCATGTGTTATACTCATGAGTACATGAGTATACTCATGTACAAAAATCTTCTGGCTTCTGGATGTGACATAATCCCTGTGAAATATGAGATTAAGCAACTCAGCACTACCTCTATAACAGTGATCATAAACTGAATGTTAAAGGAAAACTGTCCTCATGGTGAGAATGAGGCTGTCAGCCTAAGCGGTTCTCTGGCAGTAGTCAAGAGGAAAGGAGGGATGAAGTAAGCATGGGGGGGTGCGAGGGGGGGTGGAGCGGTAACTTATGTAAGGCATAGATCCAAGATTCCAAACTTGTGGTTTATGATGTTACCAGAAGCCATCAATGGAATTACAGCTCCATAATTCACAGTTACATGTTTATTCTCTATATAACACACAGTACTGACTGGACTTGAGGTTTATGATG